TAAAAATGAAGGGCTGTTGGTCAACAGAGAGAGGTGTAACTGTTTACTACAAAACAGCAAATTATTTACTACTGCCACTAATATTTATTTCCAATTTTTTTATTGAAATATATTATTGTACATATATGTATGTATACAGTATGTACATGTGTGTTTCACACAAAATCTTTTTTATAAGCAAAGTCATTTTACTGTGTATTGGAATCATGCCGATATTTTCTATTAAAGTAATTTCAATCAGCTCTTTTTAATTCTGAAAAACATGAGCGCAACATTTGATTGTGATCAAATATTTAACAGGATTGCTAAAAAGAATTCCAAATCATCATAATCTTGATTGCATTTTAAATGTTGAATTTTGAGATATAATCCTGATCAAGAGGCAAAATCTATTTCTGACGTATTTAAAAAAAAAATTACTTACTAATAGTCCATTTGCAAAATGTTAATTAAAACACAACAGGATACAAATGTAAGGAATGTTACAGATATAAGAAGGCTATTTATATTTATGTATGCAAAATTTCTAAAAATGATTTGTTTTAATTTTTTATGGAGCAATTAAACTGTTTATAATATAACATCAGGTTCTCAAGACTGGAACCATTTGTGAGGGAATGAAAACATTTACTTATTTAAAAGCATGGACTATTCTTAGTGTAGCCTGTGTTTATATTTACAAAGGATCACTCATTAAACTCCTACAGATTCAGTTAATCTAGAGCGAAATCTAAAGGCATTCCTAATAAAGTCAGAAGTCTATAAAAAGTCTCCCAAGAGACGTAAACCTCTCAGGACCCCATTTTCCTGTCTTTGCTCTTTGTGTCTGCCTCTCTGCCTTTTCGCTCCATGCTAGTTGCATCTCCTAATCCCTCCTGCTGCATCTGTCTGTGTCTCCAGGAGAAGCGTCGCCTAGCGATCCGGAATGCAGCTCAGCAGTGGGAAGCTCAGGCGGTGAAACATGGATTTAAGGCCTGTCTGGAGCTCCCAGCTCAGGATTGCGTGAAGCAGGAGGTCAGCCCTGAGCACAGCCCTGGGCAGCTCAATGGCATCGCTCCCCATGTCTCTCAGGAGGAACTTAGGTAGGACAGAGCCCCAGCACAGCGACACATCCCCCCTGTCGTGAGGGTGCAGACACACTGGGCCCCTCCTGGTGCTCCTGCAGGAGCTCTGGCTCACTTCACCAAATTGACAGACAAATCTTACGGGACTTTATGTTTTTCCCCCTTTGTTCAGAAATACAATTCTACTGAAACTTTAGCCATATTGATCTAGAATAATTGGTAATCCTGATGGATCTATCCACGTGTGCAAAGGTGATTTGGATTTGCTCCTAGCAAATCCGAAACAGAGTGATGCTTCCATGAAGGAACTGTCATGTTTTGTCAAGGAAATTGCCTCTTTAAAACCATGTTATTTGCTCATTTAAATAGCTCAATGTCTGTTTTAGTTATATCTAGGCTAAAAATATAGTTTTCTGTGTATTCTATATGAGCATCTACTGTATTTGCTGACTTTTATGTCTGATCTGATGTTTTATGTCAATTATTCCTTCATGAATGTGGCTAGTGTTCAGGCTGGCCGTGCTGTGTTTCCCGTGTAACGCCGTGTGTCGGTCTGTCCTACCGCAGGCGGCTGAGTCCCGCGGCTTCTGGTGAGAAGGCAGCCGGGGGCGGCGACAGCAGGACCCGCACTCCCAGCCGGCCCAACAGCCCCCGGGACCCCAGGTGCGCCCCTCAGCCCTTTCCTCCCCTTGCCTAGAGCTCCACACTTGCTTTTTCATTGCATTTCCCAGAGCCAGACGTATTGTTCACCACTGAAAAGCCAGGATTTTCTGCTGCATTGCTACAGCAGTCTGATTATTCTCTCTATTTTTCTTTAACAAACAGACACACCATTTTCCAACTTCCCCTGTCCTGAATTAATTTAACCGAAACCAATATATAGTGAATATATTTCTTTACATTTGCTGTATTAAAGTACAGTTATTGCATTTGTTAATCCAGAAACCCAGCAGTTCAAGCACCTTCAGCATTAACCCTTGAGCAGAATTTCTTTTACATTTTGCACAGGAAGAACAAGATCATTAACAGTTGTATGTAATGAAGTTTCTCTTAACATCGGCAGAAGTTTTCTTTTTTATGTCTAGAGCAAACAGTCTTTTTGACCATGACTTCCACCAGCTTATCAGGTTTTGAGCGTGTGGTATTCTGGAACGAAGTGTGGCATTGCACCCATTCAGTTCCTTAACAGAGGAATCAGCCTTCCCTGAGTTCTTGCCCACAGTTAAAACAGGACTCTGCAGTGGTCCATGCTGAAGGATTGCATTATCCCCGTTCATGATTCTCTGTAGCAGGTATGAGTCATCTTCCAGTTTCCCACAGCTCGGGCCAGGTCTCCCTCCACAGCTGCAGAGCTGCACAGATCAGGGAGGCACACAGCTGCACAGCACCTCTACAAATACACCAAGAAAGAATATAACCCTCCATGCCCCAGCCTCTCTAATTAGGTTTCCTTGGTTGAACTGTGATATGAATTATGAATGTTTCTGAGTCACATACAGTATGTCTTTCCTATGAGACTTATAACATTTGACAGTTCCTGATACAGCTCGTGCCAGTGTTTGTGAAAGAGTTGAAGCTTTTTTCTAAACTTATGTCTTGCTGTAAAGAACCACCTCACCCACCTTGAATTCAGTCAGAAACCTGAAGATATCAATGAAACTGCTCAGATGAATATTTCTATAAACCACATATCAACACCTATCCATTGTGCTACACAATAGCATTTGTTCAACAGCTGAATTCATACAACATTTGTGAAGCATGGGTTTGAGAATTAAGTCAGCTGTACTGTATTATAAACATTCTAAATTAATGTAAGGCACCTATAACAATATGATTATATCTGTAAATACAATAAGACATTTTGACATTTTCATATCATCCTACAACTCACAACTGGCAACCCACTGAAGCCAGGTGTGAGCCTGGTCAGTACCTGGAGGGGAGACCTCCTGGGAAGAACTTAATTTGCTGCTGGAAGAGGTGTTAGTGGGGCCAGCAGGG